TGTACCTGTACATGATGTATCTTGGTTCTTATTTTTTCCCCATTACCTGTGCACCCTTCCCTATTTACATAGACTTTGTTTCCATTTTTTTCTTTTCTCATAATTTTTCCTTTCCCTTCTTTCCTTTCCCTTCTTTCCATTCCCCTTCCCCTCCCACCTTCCCTACCCCTTTGGGCCTTTTCTTCCTATTTCAAATTATCAATGATTCATTTTAATCCTTATTTACACTTTCAGTTTCTCACACTAGAGAAACTATTCGGTATTTACACGTGTGTTCTATTTATTTCACTTAAGAATATGCCTCACGAATAACTGATAATTTGAAATTCAAAGAAAAGGCTCAAAAGGGTAGGGGTGGCAGGAGGGGAAGGGGAGAGATCAGAGTTACAGGCTGGAATCTGGAAAGAATCCATATATAGATTGCGCTTAACACTATAGGAAGAGGACTGGGGATTTAGCTCAGTGGTGCCGATGCCTGCCTCGAAAGCACAAGGTTCTGAGTTCGATGCCTGGTTCCAAAGAAAACCAAAAGTATAGGAAGAGATATAGATAGAGACTAGGATGGAGCTCATCAGTGGGTTGAGAAGAAGAGTCACTGAGATTAAAGGAGAGAAGGGTATGTTTCCAGAAGAAGCATATACAACTATGTACAGTACACAGTACTTGATAGTGTGATGAATGACTGTTACTGTTTTAGGTACTTATAACATGGTGTGCTTTTCATCCTTTAGAGCATAATCCTACTTATATAAAAGAGTTTACTGTAAAACAGTGTGCTGCTATCCCAGTGGTAGCCTCATGTATCTCATGTTTAACTGCGTATTTGGATAATATCAAGGGGCCATCACAGATGATTGACATACACCTTTTCAGTTTGCACTTAGAAGTTGGCACGCTGTGTGGTACTTTGTGATACACATGGATAAAATTGCCTAATAACATATTTCTCAGATTATATTTCCATCATGTGTCAAATGACTATATTGAAATTTAAATTTTAAAAAATTTGGCCTATGTGGAGTCTATTAGTTAATTAGAATTTTTTCTCCAGACCACTATTTGTTCAATATTAGTTTTGAAAATCTAAAACAAATCACATCTTCTGATGTCTTGTTAATGCTTGAGATGTTTTTTTAAATTATATGGAAAAATGTTTAAGTACTTTTCAGTTTTGCTTTGGTTGAGTTCTATTATATTTGAATATTATTATAGGGTTTTTTTCCCTTGCATTACTTTTCTTTGAATAATTTTAATTTTTGTATATGTGTGTTTAGTGAATGATAATAAAGTTATACATTTTAAATTTTAAAGAAAGAGTATGGCCTTAATATGTATCCATCTAGCTATAAATGTCTCTAGTTTCTTGTTTCTTATGGCTAAGTAGTACTCCATCTTATAAAAAAAACATATCTTCTTTATCCAGTTTCCAGTTGATGTGCACTTGGGCTGTGGCAGCGGGTATCACAATCCCCAACTTGAAACTATAATACAAAACTACTGTAATAAAAACAGCATGGTACTGGCAAAGAAACAGACCCAAGGATCAGTGGAATAGATGAGAAAATGCAGAAACAACTTCAGACATACTCAGCCACCTCATCTTTCTTTTGTTTTTTCTGGTACCAGGGATTGAACTCAGGTCCTTGCACTTGCGAGTCAGGCGGTGGAACCACTGAGCTAAATCCCCGGCTCTCAGCCACCTCATCTTTGACAAAGGAGCCAACCACCCTCATTGGAGGAAAGATAGCCTATTTAATAAATTGTGTTGGAAAAGCTGGATTTCAACCTGCCGAAGATTAAAACTAGACCCATATCTATCACCATGCACTAAACTAAGGTTGAAGTGGACTGAAGATCTAAATATTAAAACAGAAACACTAAACTTTCTGGAAGATAAATTAGGTAGAACTATTGAAGACATTGGCATTGGAAAGACTTTATGAAAAAAACCTCAGTTGCACAGGAACTAGCGGAAAGAATCAACAACTGGGGTCTTATCTTATTAAAAAGCTTCTGCACTGCAAGAGAATCCACCAACAGAGCTAAGAGTCAACATACAATGTGGGAAAAAAATTTTTTGCAGCTGCACCTCAGACAAAGGACTACTATCTAGAATATATAAAGAACTCAAAAAAATCAGAGCCCCCAAATTCAAAGACTGAATTCAAAAATGGGTATCTGAAATGAACAGACATTTGTCAGACAAAGAAGTAAAAGCAGCAAATAAACATATGAAAAATGTTCAAGAATTCATAAATTTTAAGAAAAATTAAGTTATACAAGATAGAAAATTTATGAGGGCTGGAGGTGTAGCTCAGTGGTAGAGCACTTGCCTAGTTAGTATACAAGGTCCTGGGTTTGATTCCTAGCACCATGGGAGAGACAGTGGCACAGACAGAGAAAGAGAGAGACAGAGAGAGAGGAAGAAAGGAAGAAACTTAAATCAAACATAAGACATGGTCAGCTGTATTATATTTAATATTTACATGGTTATAATAATGAAGACACTAAATAATTTTATCAATATGCAAGAAAAGCTAAAATTAATTTTCTCATTTATCTTAATAGAAAAATCAGTACATAATATTTAAATTTAATGAATGAAACAATAATATAGACATATTACCAAGTTACACTCAATTTTCCTTCTCACCTCATACTTAGTTTCTACCCCTGCTCTGCCAAAACTATGATGCAGGGCATATCACACCAACTTTCTTAAAACTCTTTCCTTAGCAGCAAAATAAGGGAATTGAACTATCAAAAAGTCTCTTTTTCTTAGTAGCAAAATCATAATCTAAATTTCCTCTATATTTTCTAATGTTTTGTTTTCTAAATTTCTCATTATACCAATCCTCTTTTCTTTTCTTTTTTTTTTTTTTTGGTACCGGGGATGGAACTTGGGTCCTTGCACTCGTGCAGCAGGTGGCGAAACCACTGAGCTAAATCCCCGGCCCTAACCCTCTTTTAATCTAATTGTTATCTCTTTAAATGTCATTCCAAGTTGAACATATTCCCAAACACAATTAGTAGAAGGGAAGAGAACATCATTTACCTAATGCTTTACACTATTAAGGTTTGAATTGTCCTATGTCATTAACAACCACATACTCCTAGTACACAAAATATGGTCACTTGAAATCTCATATATTTAACTTGCAATTAGCCTTTAATATTTAAGTGGTTTTCACACTAATTGCTGCACTTTATTACAATTCCCTCTCTTGTTTTCCATCTACTTGTGTAATTTTTATTCAAAAATAAGGCGAAAGATTTATACGATCTGAAGAGAAACTAGAGTATTTTTTATTCGAAAATAGTTTCAGAATTTTTCCACTCAAATCAATTAAAGTTTATTATAGGGTGGGAATGTAGCTCAGTGGTAAAGCAATGTGCTTACAATATGCAAGGCCCAAGGTTCATTCCTCACCACCACAAAACATACACAGAGAGAGTAAGAGAGAGAGAATAGATATATTTATTGTGCCTCCTTATGCTTTTGACCTACAGGTAAACATGCCTATTAGAGTTACAGGGAAAGAGTATACTATTACTCACAAATCTAGGCCATGGAAATTTAAGTTCTACAGTACTACTCCACAGGTGCTTCCATATAGTTTGCCTACACACTTTCTGCTTCTGTGTTCTATAATTCAGGAAACAGTATGACCATTAATCCAGTTTAATCAACTCTCACATCTCAAATCATGTTCTTTTTACCTTTTTCTTTGTTTGTGGTAATGGGGATTGAACCTAGGGCCTCATGCGTTCTAAGCAAGCATTTTACCATTTAAATCCTTTCTTTTATTTTTTCTGAGACAAGGTCTTGCTGCCCTGGCTCGCCTAGAATTTGCAATCCTCCCACCTTAGCCTCCCAGAGTACTAGGATTACAGATGTGTGCCATCACATTAAGGCCTTTTACTTTCTTAAAAGAACATGAATTGATGTATCTCATTCTCACTACCACTACCTCAGTAAGGAAGCTGACCAGGTGTAACCTTTTTTAAGTGGTTTTGTGATTTCCAGACTTAACTCTCTGAGAAGTATGGAATACTTGGAAGTATTTAATTGTGATACTGGGGAGAAAAATTTAAAAAGATCTGAAATACGAATTCCTCCTCAAATGCTTGCTAACTGAAACTGAATGTTAAATATGCGATTTTGTATGTATTTGATTTGAGTTACAATGAACTTACTATTCTTCAGTTCCACAAAATCAAGGGAGAAAACAATAAGAATTCTTCTAACTCTAACAAAATTTTGAAAACAAACTTAAAGAATTCTGGGAAGATATAACAAAATAGGAAGCAACCAGACTCTGTCTCCTGACCTACACAACAACTGTACTAACATAATCTGTCTGATTTAATTATTTTGGAATTCTGGAGTCTATTCCAAGGTAAGTTTCAGTAGAAGGTTTGGAAATAAACTGCTGTTAATTTCAATTTCAGCCATCAGCTGGGCAGGGACTATCCACTACCCAATACTTAGGCACCCATGCATATGCTGCACAGCTTATGGTAGCTAGAGTAGGCAACAGAGATCTTGTCCTCCAAATACTAGGGATCTGTGCTCTGATAGCTGATTTTCTTGGTTCTTACCACTGGAATACAGACAGAGGGACAGGAAGTCACTATCTCACCCCTACCTGATTGTTGTGCTACTCCCTCAGTGTTCTCTTTTTCCCTTGGAAGCCAGAGATGAAAGAACAGGAGCTTCGAAAGCAACTTCAATGCCCAGAAAAAGGTGCAGGCTCAGAAAAGACATAGGTTGCAGACACATAGGTGCAGGCCTTATGGTTATACTTCTGGTTGATTCCCAGCACAGAATCACCTATAACAATAAAAAATATTATTAAGAAAGAAAGGATAGAAGATAAGCAACCAAATAACAAAAACAATGAACTCTGAAGAGAACAAATCTGATGCTCAGTTACCACATTATTAGTTTCAAATGCCTAGTTTACAACAAGCTGGGAGGGGTGACAAATGCTTATATTCCCAGCATTCTGGGAGGCTGAGGCAGGAGTACTACAAATGTGAGTCCAGTCTGGGCTACTTGGCAACTCAGTGTGACCTTGTCTCAAAATAATTAATTAGTTAATATTTTAAAAGGACTGGGGATGTAGCAGAGTAGGAAAGTTATGGGTTCAATTCCTAGTACTGCAGTCAATCAATGTACCAGAGATAACAAGAAACAGGAAAATAGACCTATACAAAGGAAAAAAGCCAAGAAAAAGAATCAGATGATCAACCTACTTACCAAAGACTTTTAAACATTGGTCTTAAAGATGATCCAATAAGAGGAAAACATGGAGAAGGGCAAAATAAAGATTTATAAACAAAATAGGAATACTAGTGAAAAAATAAAAAAGGAAACTAAAATTCAGAAGCTGAAAATTTTAATAACTAAAGTGAAAAACTCACTAGGGAATTTAAAAGCAGATTTGAGCAGGTGGAAGGAAGAACTGTAAATGTCAGGTTAGGATAAATGTCCATATCAACACTAAAAATAAATAAAAAAAGACTGAGAAAAAGTGAACAGAGGCCAGCTTTGCTCACTCATTACAACTTTCATCAGATGATCCATGTTTCTGGCTTCTCCAACCTCCTGGGGTCTCCACTGCACCTTTGGCTTCACACTCACAGCTTCACACACTGCACTCTCAGGGGGCACACTGCTTGGCCTCTCAGAGCTTCTTCTGATACCTGGGTAGAAGCTTTCCTGATCCCATAACTCTTGTATTCTCCAGGTACCTAAAACCAGCACCACATGGATGCCAAGATCTGCCACCAGCTGCAGTAGTAGCCAGACTTCTCTCTTGGGTATAGGGGTTGAATGCCTGGATTGCTGAGCACTAAGCATCCAATCCCAAGGAACAAATTCTCCAGGCTGCTGCCATTTGGGAATATGGTGCTCTTCGACTCTCTTCTCAAAGCAAAGTCTTTCACCTTTGCAATTCAGAGGCTACAAAGAATGGAGTTCTGCTGGCTCTTGTGATGTCCTCAGGTCATCTTTTCTATTGTCCTCTTCCTGAAGCCAGGCAGTGTGCCCAGGAGGGCAGTGTGTGAAGCTGTGAGTGTGAAGGCAAAGGTACAATAGCAAGGAGTGAGCAAAGCTGGCCCAAGAGACAATCCCTGAAAGCTGCTGCTTCACTGCCTTCTGCCTGCCGTGAACTGTTTTTGTTTCTCCTCTGCGATGCCCCTCTGCCAAGTCACTCTGCTCTGTAGCCAGCCAATTATGAAATGAAACCTCTAAAACTGTGAGCTACAATATACCTTTCCTCCTTTAACTTTGGGTGCCAGACATTTTTGTCTCAGCAAAGATTTTGGTACTGAAAGTGGGGTTATTTGCTGCTGCATCTGTTGCAGCTGCTTATCTTCGGCTGCCTCCTGCTTCCTCTGCAGTGTTGCCCTGCCATGCCACCCTGCCTTGGAGCCAGTCAACTATGGACTGAAATCTTTACAAACTGTGAGCCAAAATAAACCTTTCCTCCTTTAACTTTGGGTGCCGGGGGCCGGGGATTTAGCTCAGAGGCACCACTGCCTGCCTTGCAAGCACAAGGTCCTGAATTCAATCCCCAGTACCAAAAAAAACCCTTTGGGTGTTGGTTATTTTGTCTCAGCAATGAGAAAACTAAGACACCAAGAAAACAATCCAGTTTCAAAATGGGCAAAGGCTTCAGGCCAGGCAGTGTGCAGTGCAGCCTGGTGGGCAAGACCAAGTGTTTTGAGAAGAGGTTCCACCTGATGGCCATGAAGTTCCTTCAGGCATCCAAGGACCACTAGAAGCAGCTGTATTGACCCAGAAGACCACTCTTTCTTTTCTGGGCTGGTGAAATAGTATAACTGTGGTGGCCATGGTCTGGGAGGGGCTGAATATGGTGAAGACAAGCCAAATGATGCCTGGGAAGACCAACCCTGCTGATTCTAAGCCAGGCACTATTATAAGGAACTTTTACATTCAAGCTGGCAGGAATATCATTCAAAGCCGTGACTCAGTAAAAAAGTGCTGAAAAGAGATTGGCCTGTGGTGTAAACCTGAAAAGTTGGTTGACTTCAAGTCCTATGCTGAAGACTGGATTTATGAATAGAGGTGGACAAAGCAAGGGTATTCTTCAGCATTACTTGATGAGTTCTTGGACATAGCTCTTCATTCTATTGACCTGAAAGTGCCTACTTACCAATAAAGCCTTTGGAATTGGGAGAAAATAAAAATGGGCAAAGGACTTGAGAAGACACTTCTCAAAAAGAAGACATACAAAAGGTATCATTACTAATCATTAGGGAAAATACAAATTAAAGTTACAATGAGATATCATCTCAAATCAGAATATCTTTTGTTAAAAAAGGAGATCAAAGGGCTGGGGATTTAGCTCAGTGGTTCTGATGCCTGCCTCACAAGCACAAGGTCCTGAGTTCAATCCTCAGTACCAAAAAAAAAAAAAAAAAAAAAGAAGGAGATCAAAAATATTAGCAAGAATACAGAGAAAAGAATATTTTTGTTTATTGTCGATGGGAAGGTAAATTAGTACAGTCATGGAAAACAGTATGGATGTTTCTCAAACAAAACTAGAACTACTTCATGATCTGGCAATCTCACTTCTGGGTATTCAAAGCAACTGAAATTAGTGTAACACAGAAATATCTGCATTCCCAAGGTATTTGCAGCATTGTTCGGAGTAGCTAAGACATAGAATCAACCTAAGTGTCCATCAATGGACAATGAAGAAAATGCAGCAAATATACACAATAGAATACAGTTTGGTCATTTACAACAATGTGGATAAACCTGGAGGACATTATATTAAATAAGTAGAGAGACAAATACTACATAATCTCAAATATGTGTGGAAACTAAAAGAGGTGAACTCACAGACACAAAGAATAGAATGGCAGTAAGGGATGGGGGAGAATGAAGCAATGAGGAATTGTTGGTAAAAACATACCTAGAAAATATTATACTAATGAAAGGTTCAAGATAGCAGTAAGGAATAAATATTTGCACATCTAAATAAGACTATCACAATATATAAAATAAAAACAGAATTAAAAGGAGAAATAGTTGTACAATAATGAACAGTCAGAAGTAGGGAAATAAGAGTACTTATTATCCTAAATCAACTAGATCTAGCAGAAAACAGTTTACACAACACATTCTTAAGTGCATATGGGACATTTATTTTACTAAGCACTCAACACCATACCAATGAAACTGTTTAAATAGCTATGTGGGCATGGTGGCACAGGTGTAATCCCAGCACTCTGGAGGGTGAGGCAGGAGGACTGCAAGGAGTTCAAGGTCAGCTGGGGTTACATAGTGAGTTCCAGGCCATCCTGAACTACATAGCAAGACCCTGTATCAAAAAAACATAAATAAAAGCAAAGAGCCAGGGATTTATCTCAGTGGTTCCACCACGTGCCTCGAAAGCACACAAGGTCCTGGGTTCGATCTCCAGTACCAAAAACAAAAACAAAAAAAAGTAACATATAAAAGCTCTTAGCAAAAATTCAGACAAAGTCTCGCTTCATTTTGTATCACTGGCACCTCAACAATATATCACAAATGTGGTAATTAAGTATGACTTTTAGTTCCCTTCAAGTGGTGTTTCAATCTTCTGTGAAATATGCTTCTCCTCCCTCAGCAAGCTCCTGTAGTCATTTTTCTTGTAATGATGCCGGTAGTACTGATGACTGAACCCAGGGTCTCATGCTTTTTCAACTTATGGGTATATCAGGACATAACCCAGTGGAAGTCAATAAGCATATGTAAAAAATATATTTTCATCCTCTTTCAGAATTCACCACATAAGCAGCAGTCAGTTGCAATTAGTCTTATTTTATTAACAAGTGGGGCAACCTATCCCTGTCTGTTTTTTTCTACCTCTGGTCTACAGGTTTAGTGTGAGACTGTGACTGTTAATCATAATATGCCAAGGAACTGGTTAAGTACACTTCTTGGTGTATCCATTAGTAACTTTTCTATCGCTGGGACAAAATATGTGACACCAGAAACTTAAAGAAGAGGTTTATTTGGCTATTTCCAGTTTTTGTGGCTGGTTGTCTCCAAAGCAGAAATGGCACAGCAGTAAAGCATGATAGAGGAAAGCTGCTCATCCCACAACAGTCAGGAAGTAGAGAGTGGGAGGAACCAAGGACAAGAATACACCTTTCCATCCCCCAAAAACCAACCTCTCCAGCCAGGCCCCATCTCCTAACAGCACATGAACTACTGAATTTATCAATGAATGAATCCACTGATGAGTACAGCACACCTATGATCCAATTACCTTCCGAACACGAGACTTTTTTTTTTTTTTTTTTTGGTACCGGAGATTGAACTCGGGACCTTGCGCTTCCGAGACACATGAGATTTTTGGAAGAGCATGTTTGGTTCCCACCAAAGCCCCTCTACCATGATGTTTTTGCCTTAGAGCCAAGTGAACACAATTGGCTGAAACTGTGAGCCAAATTAAACTTCTCCACTTTTAATTTGTGGGTAACGGGTCCTGTGTTCCAGCAATGGGAAAGTAACGCAGAAAATCAGTACCAGGAATGTGACTATTGCTGCAACTGTCCCAGAGCATGTGGTTTAGAATACTGGAAAGAGGCTGGATAAGAGATTAGAAAAATCTTGAGAATGCAGTAAACAGAGTCTGATGGGTGATTCTGGTTAGAGCTCAGAATACCAGAATGCCAATAAGAATGTGGATAGTAACAGCTAGGCTCAGAAAATTTCAAATGGGAAACAAGAATTTCATTAGCAACTGGACTAGAGGCCATGTGTATAATGCTCTGGGAAAAAAAAATTGTTTTGTCCAAGTCCTAACACTC